GAAATACATGACGATGATGCATCAATCAGACCACCGAGCACTTTATAGACAAAGCCTGCAGAAGAGAAATCGGAGTAGTTCTTGCGTAAAATCGTATAAAACGATTACGCGCGACTACAATGAATCGCTAAGAACGCATTGATGAATGATCTTTGCTTGCCAAGCGAATTGACAGCACAATGACAGAAATGATAAAAATCTGTTTTATGTCGTCAATCACCGCGATACGTAATCATGCGGTTTCTCACGGATTCGGCGGCCATCGCAAGAGAAATCGTGCCGACGATTGCATCACCTCGGCAATTAGGACGTGGCGCGAAAATTTTACGATGCAACGATTCATCTTGCGTGCGCATCGTCAGGTAAACGGGATAAACGATAGTCGATACCCTCTTCCGTTTGTACAGTAGGATGATGACATAACCTTACAGAATCGAGCTGTCCGCAACGGTGTCCCCAGCTGTGTCGCACATGAGTCAGATCGTCCACGTGAATTTTCGTACGATCGCGTTCAGAATTTAAAAAAAAAAACACTAACGAGGAAAACATGACGACGGAGAACGCGCAGGTAGAAGAGCATGTGTTAAACGGTGTCGCCGAGGACGAGGACATCGTGACACCATGGACGGTGACGAGTGTCAACGATTCCGGCATCGATTATGACAAGTTGATTAGTAAGTCGCGCCTCTTGCAAGAGGTAATTTATGATGATGAAATTATCCTTGCAGATCTGTGAACATTCACGCGAAGAATAGGTGATTTTTTAGGTTATGTTCGCAACAAAGTGCACAGTAAGGTGTATAATACCTGTTTTTTTTTATTGTCATAATGAACTGTATTAAAATTTTCAACACAGACTCCAAAGATTGTCCTAAAGATGTTCTTAAGACATAATGAATCTCATTTTCAACGAGAGATAAATAATACATTAAGCTTATTTATTTACCTGAACTTCTTGCACAGCTTTTTATTTTTTTTCTCGAACACAGAGAAAAAAAAGATAAATTGTGTAAAAAGTTCAGCTAAAAAGAATAAGTTTAATGTAACGCAGTGAACTATTATATCATTAGGTGCTTTTCTATTAAGAGACGCAGATGATACAGAATAACACAAGTGAGTCATTTTTTTTTACTAATCTCAGACAATACACATGTCAAAAAGATGTCATAAAGACATCATAAAGTCATTTTTTAGGATGTATATGTCTAAAAGATATCATAAAGATGTCTTGTAGACTTTACATGTTATCTGCAAATGTTAAACAAAGATAAAATAATTCATTATGCTATTCTGTGTTATCTGTGCATCTTGCTGGAAAGTATTCTTGATTGTTTGCCAATGTTGAGATGAAATGATCATCATGTTACACTAAATTATTCTTGCTGGAAAGCATCAAAATGTATAGGTTTCTATCTCGTTTTTATTAAGCTTCAAATATGTATTTTATTTTAAGTACAAGAGTATAAATACAAAGAACAGAACTATATAAATCATTTAGTCTCTTGAGCTTTGCAGACTAATACATTTTCTTTTTTTTTTGCAGAAAGATTCGGAAGTTCTAGGATAGATGATGAACTATTAACTAGATTTGAAAAGATCACTGGCAAGAAACCGCATCGCTTTCTCAGAAGAGGCATATTCTTCTCCCACAGAGATATGCACACTATTCTGAATCTTTACGAGCAAGGAAAGCTCTTTTATTTGTACACAGGCAGAGGACCGAGCTCTGATGCGATGCATCTGGGACATCTCATACCTTTCATGTTCTGTAAATGGTTACAAGAAGTTTTCAATGTACCATTAATCATACAGTTGACAGACGATGAGAAAGCTATATGGAAGAATCTAAATATAGAAGATGCTATTAAATTGGCCTATGCCAATGCAAGAGACATTATCGCCTGTGGCTTTAATCCCGAGAAAACCTTTATTTTTTCCAACTTGGAGCACATAGGAAACAATTCAGCATTTTACCAGAATATGATCAGGATACAGAAATGCGTGACGTTTAATCAAGTGAAGGGCATTTTCGGTTTCGGCGATAGCGATCCAATCGCGAAGATCGCGTTTCCGCCAACGCAAGCGGCACCGGCGATCTCTGGTTCGTTTCCTTTTATTTTTAAGGATGCTAAAGTGCACTGTCTGATACCATGCGCGATCGATCAGGACCCGTACTTCCGCATGACAAGGGATGTGACGCCCAGGCTGGGTTTTCCCAAACCAGCGTTGTTGCATGCGACCTTCTTCCCAGCGTTACAAGGCTCGAAGACAAAAATGTCGGCGAGCGACAGCAATACGGCAATATTCCTCACAGATACTGCTAAGCAGATAAAAAACAAGATCAACAAGCATGCGTTCTCGGGTGGTCAAGCCACTGTGGAAGAGCACAGACAGCTCGGTGGCAATTGTGAGGTAGATATATCTTATCAGTGGCTGCGATTCTTCCTGGAAGACGACGAGCGATTGGAACAAATTAGGAAAGTTAGTCTCGCGTTAATTGCTTTAATTCTTTCTCTTAGGCAAAATCGCATGATAGAAATATCGGCCGACTATTGTGTCGTTTATGAAAAACAATTAAAATTGTATCGTATCATGCACAATCGTGTACATTGCCAAGGATTTTCTATAAACAACACAATACTTGGCCGACATTTTGTCTATCATGTACTTGGCCTAAAGCCAGGAGGTGTATGATAGACAAATCGTCTATGACTATATCTGTCGATCAATTGTTATCTACAGAAAATCCTTGATAATGTATGTGAATGCGACATGAATATAATACAACTTTAATTGTTTTCCCTAAATGACACAGTCGATACTTTAGCTGATAGTCGATTCTTATTTCAAAACCATCTTAAGTAATGTCTTAAAATAATATCGTAGCACTCCGTAATTGGTTTTGTAACAATATACAGTATACTAAGCTTGAAGTCGTAAGATATTGGTCAATCGAATATGAAGTCTGGTCTTAAATATAAGAATCAATTATGAATACTTACATCTATCGTCTACTTTTATACTAAGGTTCATTTCCACCAATGTAGACCTAACTTTAATTTCGATTCAACTTTTCGTCCCTTTCTAATTCTTAGAATTAGAAAAAGATGGACGTTAAACTGAGACTAAAAAGTTAAGTTATATTGATAGGCATTAAATTATAACGACAAATAACAAATTTATCTTTTAGGGCTATACCAGCGGGGAGATTTTGACAGGCGAGCTAAAGAAGGAACTGATCGACGTTCTACAGCGACTTGTCGCCGCGCATCAAGAAGCAAAAAGTAGAGTAACGAATGAAGTGATTAAACAATACATGATTCCTAGAGACCTTGATTTCAAAAACAAAGTAATTGTTTAATAAGCACCGATTTATGCGAACCATCGCTTCCTAGATTCTTCTACTTGCGTTGGAGATCGATTTAAATCTATTTATTGCAAGACACGCAACTATAGAATATTCCAGAAGATTCCATGATCTTTTTCAAGCACCGCCTTTTGTTGAAAAATTAAATTAATTTTTCTATTAATCTGCCTCTCGTTTATTAACAAATCTCGTAACCCTATTGAAAAATTCACAAATTTTCAACTTTTTCTAATTATCGAATAAACGTAAATGCCTTTCACAGCTGCATGGCGGACTGTAGCGTAAAAATAAAAATATCTTTTATTTCGATTAAACCTCAATTGATCATAAACTTAATCAATGATTAGTACTCGTGTCTACCAGTATAGAGATAATTTTAATCTCAATTTATTTTTATCTTGTTCTAGTTCTAAGAATTATCTGTCTATTGAAGAGAGACTCAATTATTTATGTTACATCTACAAATTTGGATTATTATTATGGTTATTAAAATAAACTTAATATATTCATATACAGACATTCTTTTTTATACGAGTTACATCATTTTTCTCGAAATTAAATAGTGCCTTTAGTCATGAATTAACATAAATTAAATGGATCTTAGATTCAATAACTATTACACATTTTTAGCTCCGATGATTTGATTTACTTTTCATCTTGTTTTAATTCTTAGAACTGAAAAAAGATTTAAAAAAAAAAGTTAAAAAATTCCGATAAAATTAATATATATAGATAAAAAATAAAAATGAAACAAAAAGAAAGGAGCAATCTCTTAGCGCATGCGTCGCGCGGGGGAAACCTGAATCGCGTGGATTCGAACGGCTGCCGTTTATGTTCCACTTTCTCACAATTATTCGAAACTGGGTCGAGCGATGCCGATAGAGGATACACACTGTGCCTCGCGTGTGCATCCTCGGTCGCGCGGGAACGGGCTGAGTCTCGAGGCCCGAAGTTGCGCGCGCTAGAGGATCAATGAGAGCCGATCGCCACAATCGGGCGGCGCGCTTATAGTGCTTATAGATAGAATACAAGAGGCAGCCGCGCTCAAACGCGGATTAATGGGGCGCATCTGAGCGTAATAACGCGTAATCCAATGACCCGTTGACGTTCTCGCCGTAGCGGAATTCCCATCGGCTATTAAACCGATCAATAAACCGATCTTAATATACAAATATAAGTACGTCGGGATGCTTCTCATTCGCGCCGGCGATTCGCCGAATTGATTACGCCGGACCTGGGACTGCCTGAGGCCCAGAGGTCATGTCGGTCGCGTCACGCCGACAGCCAATTAACATCGCAAGTAATTATCGATGATTGCACGAGATCTATCGGCCGCGAAATCGTACGTGTAACGCTGTTTTCGCGCGACACGTCGTCGAGTTAATTCTCTAGTATCGCGCGCGCGCATGAAAGAGAGAGAGAAAGAGAGAGACAGAGACAGATAAACAAAGAGAAGAGAGAAAGAAGGAACGAGAGCAAGTTAATTTTACCCCGCGTGCGATGATCGTATAAAACGAGATATCGGCTAAGCGCGAACGGAAATGGCGCGGTGTCGATTGGCGGACAATGACGACAGTACGCAAGCCGCTATTAATAAACCGGCGCATGCGCGCCACACCGGCCGCCGTGTGTATCCGCCATTCATGCGAGTCGATTTCGTTGTTTCTGTGTGTGCAGGCACGAGCCAGGCCTGAGGCCAGCCAGCTAGGCACAGCCAGCAAGAGCGAAACGAACGGTACGTGGTGCGACGGTGAATAAAGAATAATATTTGCGTGCTACTTCGAGGAAGATACGATGCGAGCGTATTAACTGTACGAATACACAGCGACGTACCACGCAGTGGCAACGGTGACGGCGGTGTGGCGGCGGCAGCGGCGACAGCAACGGCAGTTTGTTGGAGCACGCTACCCGTTTAGTACCTGAAATGACGACTATCCTCGGTCACGGTCCGCCGACGTAAGTTCTACGTTTGTACGCTCAGCAAAGGCGCGAGCGGGAGCCGTGCGTGCTTGCTTGCGTGCATGCATACGTGTGAGCGAGCGAGCGAGCGAGTAAACTATTTTAGTCGCGAAAATTCGCCGCTGCCAAATAAGAGCTTCCTCGTGCGCGCGTCACCCTCGTCATTCGTCCGTCGTCGTTGCCGTCGTCGTCGTCGTTGTCGGGAAACGCGAGCGCACGAAGCAACCGCCGCCTGCGTTATCCGCCGCGCGGAACGATATCTCGCGGAAAAAGTGGCAGAAAGGCACTGTGTGCTACGTGAACTCCGTGGCTATATCGCTCCCTCGCGCGTGGCGTAAGCGATGGATTTATTCGCGCCGGCTGATAACGCACGCCGCTTCCAAAATGCCGTACAATACGTCCAACTCAGTGGACAATCCCTACCCGGTGTCGTCTCACCTCGGCCTTTGTCATTTGAACTCTCGCGTATACGCAAGTATTTTCCTCGACCCACGTTATCGACTTATTTTCGTCACAGTGTCAAACGATCGACGGTCGAATTCCGTTGGATAGACTCTTGTTTACTCCAAGAATTCTGATGCATGATCGAAAATAATAGTGTAGATCAAAAAATTCTGTTATAATATAGTTTTTGATTTTAGGTAAGAGTGAAAGAAGTGCCATTTTGAGGATCCGTAAGAATGATGCTAATCAAATAATAGAAGGAGAGACAAATAATTAGCTGGTACAATAAATATTCAACGTGTAATATGGGGGCGTTTTTGGATACTCCGAACACAGAGAAGTGCAATGAGCATGGCACTGGTAACGGCCTGCGGTACGGCGTTGCTAGTATGCAAGGATGGCGAATGGAGATGGAGGACGCTCATCGAGCAATTCCCTGTTTGGATGGTGGTCTCTCAGATTGGAGCTATTTTGCAGTGTTTGATGGTCATGCAGGTGCATTAGTATCAGCCCATAGTGCGGAACACTTATTAGAATGTATAATGCAAACGCAAGAGTTTAAGGCCGAGGATGTTATAAAAGGAATCCACTCTGGATTTCTCAGACTCGACGATGAGATGAGGGATTTGCCAGCTATGAGCGCTGGCATGGACAAATCCGGCTCCACGGCGGTGTGTGCATTTATATCGCCCAAAAATATTTATATCGCCAATTGTGGCGACTCCCGGGCGGTACTCTGCAGATCTGGACTACCAGTCTTCTCGACGCGGGATCACAAGCCCGTTTTACCCGCTGAGAAGGAGAGAATTCAGAATGCAGGTGGTAGCGTAATGATCCAAAGAGTTAACGGATCTCTGGCGGTTTCCCGAGCATTGGGTGATTACGAGTACAAAAATCTAAAAGATCGAGGCCCTTGTGAGCAGTTAGTGTCGCCGGAACCAGAAATATTCATGCTAGACAGGGACGATGAACACGACGAATTTCTAGTTTTAGCATGTGATGGCATTTGGGATGTTATGAACAACGAAGATTTATGTAATTTTATACATTCAAGGCTGCAGCTAACCGATGATTTAGAAGCAGTTACCAATCTGGTTGTAGACACTTGTCTTTATAAGGTATTATATCTTACACATATGTATATTTTTGTATTAAAAGTATAAATGTGATTATATCAAAAGAATATATTATTCATTTATCACTTTTATTATTTATTTAAGATATGAAGCAAATATGAAAATTACTTTTAAAGTTATTTTTAGTTTGTAAAATAATATATAAATTTTTATTACTATTCATTATGCTGAGTTACATTCTTAATTTTTCTTTATGTCTACAGTTATATGGAAACTTTTGATGTTGATCGATGTTTTTTTTTATACAAGAATGTATTCAGAACAATCTAAAATTTCGTTACAGGGTAGCAGAGATAATATGAGTATAGTCCTGGTAACGTTTCCGGCTGCACCAAAACCAAATCCTGAAGCACAGAGGCAGGAGGCCGAGTTGGAAATGGCTATTGCAAGGAAAATTAAAGGTTCTTTAACTTTTCCATACTTTAATTCATTATATTCTTTATGTTGTTGCATTAATTCAAGATCACGATGCCACATACACGAAAGTGACATAATAAATTAATGTTTGTTGATATAAAATAGATGTAATGATAAATTCTTCTTGATGCATATTTAAGAAAATTTTGCACAATTGTGAAGAATTTGATTAGTGCCAAAGCATATAAAAAAATATTCTTCAACATAAAAATATTATGAAAGTTGATATATGAAACATCTATTTTTAGCAATATAAATACTTTTATTCTCAGATATTTATAATACTGTAAATATTGCAGTTCAATGAGGAGAAAAATAGAGACCAATCATAATGAATGACTCCAAATAGCGTAATAGTTCGCAATAGTTTGCATATGATAAGTGATGTGTATTAGACAATTAAAAGTTCAGTAGTGGAACTATTATATAATGTTAGAAAAATGTTATCGTTGATGAACTGATTTATTATTGCGTTATTAGAGGTGATGTGTACTATTCTAAAAATTATAAAGAATAATAATATAATAGATAAATTATAAAGAATTTGAAACAGCCAATATCTTCGATGTCACATAGATGTAATCTAATCTAATTTGAAAGATCAAGAGTTTTATTTTCAGAATAATCTTGTATTTACAATCTACATATCACATGTGCCACAAGATATAACTAGTCATTACACGCAAAGCAATCTTACAAAAGTGATAAAAATGTTTTCCAGTGTTTTAATGTGCGTAAACAGCAATAATAACAATTTATAATTCTTTAAAATTAACTTTAATTGCGATTTGAAAACAAATGTAAATGTTAAAGCTTGCACAATCAATTGTACAAATTATGTGTAATAATAACTACACAATGTGTGAGTCCCACTTCTTAACGTTGCACTTTGTGATTAATAAAGTTGATGTCTTATACGCTATATATCTGTCACATACGAGAAAACGTTTACAAATCATTGATGTCTTACGCCGTCCTGTGTGTGCAAAAACGCATATTTGTTTCACTTTAATAAATTCCATCACATTGCATCTGTTATTTTTCAAAATTTTCTGAGAGCTTGATACAAACAGTTTACCAATTTTCATGTGAAATTCAAGATGTATGACGCGTATGGTATATAAAAACAGATGCAATAATTCACGTACTAAAATATATCATTATTTCCTCAGATCTCACGTTTTATTAAAATTGTATATCCGACTAATGTACATTTCAAAGATACTAATTTGTGCTATGTGTTAAAGATATGAGAGGACTGTTATTAAGAAAATTAAATTATACTGTAATATAAATACTATGGTTGTTTCTTAAATATTAATATTGTTATACAAATGCGTAAAAATTGCAAAGCTTTAAAAATATACAATGCTTAATGTGTAGTAACACAAAAGTATAAAAAATACAACCCACTTATAAGAAAAAAAATATATATACATTTATAATGTTATTTCACTAGAACAATATTTTATAATAATTTTAGTTTACTCCATACATACATAATTAATTAAAAATATTACATCAATGCTATATATTTATTAACGAGGCATAAAAAAAAGTTTTTAAGATTTCACGGTGAGTTATTTGGTTGAAAATTCTTATTTTTTGTTTTTCTGTTAATAGATATTTAGAATTAAAAAACTATTAAATTAATTTTTATTAAATTATAATTGAAAGAAATTATATGTGAATTATATTTCAATACATCTGGGAACCGTCCATCTAGAAAGGCTCATCATGAAATCTCAAAAATATCTGCCCTATTTATGATCAAATTATCATGTGTATCAAATCAATGTTTCAATATTACTTTCTTAAAAATGAGAGAGAAAAAAATTAGTCTGTAGTATCAGAAAATTAGTACACATTAT